AAATTCCCCGTACCGGTCTCCTGTATCCGTCCTGGCTCCGTTCCCCCCGTGATGACGGGTACCGCCGTGTCTCGCGGGGACGGAGTGATTCCGCAGTAGCGTACACCCATGAAGAATAGAGATAAGGAGACCGAACTGACACGGAAAAATGTTCGAGAAACACGGCCAAATTGGTCGCTGGACTCTAATTTACTAATGCTCCGCTAGATGGCGCCTCCGTTTGACGGGACCCACACGTACACGCACCGACGGCTATGTAGTGTGTGGAAGCAGACGAGACCGGCAACAGCGCACAAATACATGCACGATTTTAACTCTCCCCACCACGCTCCACTCTGCAATCTCTCCTCCTCCTCAACTCTAAGCCAATAGCCATCGGGTACCTTCAGATTGCAGTGCCATCTATTGGTACCTAAAGATACAACCATCGGGGATCGGTTTTGGCCGCGTGTCCCGAACATACAGTTCGGTCTCCTTATCTCTATTCTTCATGCGTACACCTAACGGGGTGCTCCTCGGTGTACAATCATTACTGGAAAATACACGCATAACGAGGCGCTGCTCGGGCGTGTTCCTGACCTGACCTGATCCTTTTCTGATTCCTGACCGGTGTAGAGCTCAGGGGGGAATATTCGGGTGGGAATTAATTCTAATTTGCGCGTAGGCTTCCGTAGAATTAATTCCGTCACTGTTCTCCTTTTACCGACCAGAGGATTCCGTACAGACATCTTTCCCGTTGTCGCCAGTATCTTATCCGTATTATCCAGTGTAAATTATCCTGTATTGTTATTCGTATCATATTATCCAGTTGCGTGTTTTCTGTACAGTTTTATAACCTCGTAAATCGTACTGAGATTCCTGTATCTCCGATTAATCCGACCGGCCACATTATCTTTTGTACTCCGTATTCCGATCCGGTCGCGTACTCCTGTACCGTAATATAATCCGTCTAAACATATCCTGTTTTTCTTTGTATTTTATCACAGGGCGGACCTATTGTACCTACTAATCCATTCCTTTCCTTTTATATTTCGATCACAGGGCGGACCTATTGTAATTTCCTCGATCTCATGTATCCTATCCATGAATAAACCACGCTCCTATCGTTTTCTACCAAATTAAATACTTGTACGATTTATTCCCGATCCTTCCAAGCGATTACCTCACTAAGCGAAGTAAGATCTTGTCCTCCTTTCCTCCAGACGGCCCTGGAGCTGAGCATATTCGGCACATAGGAGGAACGGGGGATTTAATTAAACCGACACACAGCACGTCAAAACCGACCGAAAGAAAGCCAACTCTTCCAACCGTTAGTCGGAACCGCGCGTCCGACTAAGTTCCGCATTTATTCGCGTAATAAGTGATACCCGCCGGAGTCCTGTTCGGAATTCAGTACCGGGGAGAGTTGAGCGCTTCGTTACAAAATAACATAAGTCACCGACTCTATCTGCTCGAAAGATTATCTTACCGTTTTTATCGACCACAACCGCGTCTCTTTTGCGAAAATTTACCTCGTACCCGCGATCCGTGATTTTTGATACCGACAATAAATTTGAGCGCAAATCCGACACATAGTACACTCTTTCGAAATTTACATTTGTCTCTCTTTTGCCATTACTTACAGTCATACGTACGTTTCCCGCGCCGGTTATATTCGTCGATTCACTGTTCGCTAAATTTAACAATTTATACACACTCTCGATTTTCTCGAACTTTGTCTTCTCTGTGCATATGTGAGCCGTACACCCACTGTCCAAACATCACTTTTCGTCACTTATGTCCTCGCGATTAAACATTACCGTCTCAACTGTATTTAACATGGCCGTATCTCCACATACTTGTTCCGAACACACCGACTCCTGATCATCGTCTTCCGCTTGCCGCGCACTCTCTCGTTGGTTCGCCGGAAATTTCGCCGTACACTTTCTGGCAATATGGTCAATTTTACCACAGCGGAAGCATCTTAGCCTCTTCTGCAATATGTCTGCCTGGCCCTCGGTTACACTGCTCGAATCATCATATCCGCCACGTGGCATACGTGCCCTTGAACGAAGCTGTGATCTCTTCGCGTACATCACATTCTATTCCATATCATGGTCGCTCGCTTTCCGTGATTCGTATTCCTCGAGTATCTTCACTCGTAATATCTCGGGGTCGGGCAACTCATCCCGTGTCTCAATAGCGCAACGAAAGCTACCGAATTATTCCGGCAGACTGTATAGCAATAAAATCGCCAACACTTCCTCATTTACTATTAGACCAATTTCTCTTAATTTCGCCACTGCTTCAAAAAACTCTGTCAGATGCGCTCTCACGTTGTCTCCCTCCTTCAACCGTGACAAAATAATTTTCTTCAAAAGGAACGCTTTCCGCGCTGGTCCCTTCGATTGGAATGTCGACTCAATTTTCGACCAGACTTCCCTCGATGTCTGCAATCCAGGGATTATGTTTAGCTCCGGTGTACTTATCGACAACACAATGTCGGCCTTGGCTTTCGCATCCTTACTTTCCCACTCAGTTATTGCTTCCGTTCCTGACTTCGGCTTTATGTTGGTGCCGTTCACATATGTCCACGCGTCGTTTTTTACTAGGATAGCTTCCATCTGCATCTTCCACGTGTCATAATTATCCGCTGTTAACGGTTCGATCTTCAAAATTGTTGACATCTTGGTCGTCCCGCGACCTCGCTGCGCATTACACAACGGTCTTCCCGTATCCTTGCCGTGTCGCTCGCCGCCGTCCCATTCTGCGGAGTTTTTCACTCCCGGTTAACAGGCGATTTTACACTTGCGTTACATGAGCTCTGGGCCCATAACCTGATAGAAAAGTAACTTCACATATAATGTATGAATAACATAACTCGTTTTTATTCTCGGATACAATGTGTAATTGCTCACGACCACGTGTCGAGCAACGAACGACTGACTGCGTGGAGCAGTCCCGCGCGCGACGCTCCCCCCCGGCCTCGGTTCCCCCGGCATAGACCCTCAAAGCCGAGACAGGCCGCTCAGGAATACGATCGTAGCCGGAGTGAAGCCACTTCGCATTCCCAACAATCTTCGAAGAAAGAATGAGTTTGAAAAAATCATAAAATGAAACATAATAAAAAATATAATTTAAAAAGCTTTACCAATTATTAAATCCGCTAATTTTAATTTGTTGAATGCTTTCTTGGACCGCCTTCTCAACCAACTGTAGGTTGCAGCAAGTTTATTTGTCATCAACTTTTGCAAAGCTCTTTGTGTCATGTTATATACAGAGCTTCCACCAATTTGTGAAAGTTCATTCATCTGTAAAATTAAAAAAAAGGAACATATTCATTAAAATTTCACAATTAATAAAGTACATATTGTAACACTGCAATAAAAAACGTAACATATATTTAAAAACAGACAAAAATTCAATATTAAAAAATTACCGCAACGTTAAAATTGTTCTCGTCATTTAAATATTCATCGACGCATATTAGATCATCTTCGTTTTGTAAAGGAAAATCAAAAATTTTGGAGAATGAAGGTGCTTTCTGCGTTTGGTTCACCTTATCATTTGTAAGAAGATGATTAATAGATGTGGTAAAATCTTGAAGAGAATCTGTATATTGCCACATTCTTGCTTTCAGCATATTTTGTTGGCGAATAATTTCTTTAAAATAATTTTCTGAAAAAATTGAGTTTGCTATATTTTTCAATCAATTGTCGAACATATAGAGTATAGAATTTTGATAATAAATTATTTTATAATAAGATTGATAATAAATTCAAAGTTTTTCATTAATAAAATTATTCTTATTAGATGTACCACTATCTGACTCAAAACTTTCTAATATATTATTATCGATTTCAATATTATTAACATTATTATGATCCAAATCAATGTCATTTAATTGTTCATTAATATTCATATCGCTATTTCTTATCAAATCATTATTATTTAAATATTGAGCAAAATTTTGATCCAATACAGATTCAACTGAATTTATTGAAGAATCTGTATTAGCCTTTGCTCGCCTGTAATATTTTGTTTTAATTTTAGGCATAGTTACTTATTTTTCACGAATTCCTTGTGACAATGTGGTCTTGCGTAACTAATCTTTACCAAGGGTTCCTTGTAACAGTGTGGTCTTGCGTAACCAAATCTTACCAGAGTGTAGTCTTTCAGAACTATATAACATAAAAAATGTTTTAAGTATACATTTAAAAGCATTTATTGTAAAGATTATGAAAAATAAGAATGAGTTTATGATGCATATTTTAGATATTCAATTTGAATTAATGTGCTAGTCAAATACATGATTAAAATAGTAAAATATGTAAAAATCTGAAATATGCATTATGCATACCTAGGATGTTAATTTTGTTAGCTTATTGAAACCATTATCTAAAAGTATAAATTAATTTCAAAGATGTAACAATGTGTTTATTCTTTGTGAACATACGGCTAACTCTCTTTGAGCAGTTCTCAGTATCGAAGTACATAGTCAAGCTAACCAAACCCGCATATACACCAATGCCTATTAATGGTCATTAATGCCCACTGGGCATTACTGTTGAATTCTTTATACCTACTTATAATAACCTAGTAATACCCAAGTAATGCCTAAGCAATACGACGAATCTGTACACCGCAATGCCCTCAGCTATTTACCCCCCGCATGTTTCTAACCTATAGGTTATGACAAAAATATCTGCTAAAAGTTTACTATATCTAAAACAATAAAATACAAACCATAAATATACTTACATTTATTATTCTCGTATCCGTTTGATGAGACCACTGAGTAACCCAGAAATGATTTTGTAAAAAAATTAACACGCCACAGAACACTTGAGAGAAGAGAGATTTCCAAGAGTCGCCGGTACACATCTGTAAGGTTCGTGCGTGCTGCTCGATTGTTACACGTGCTCGCCAAATCAGGTCACGTGATCGCGCTCGACCAATCCGCGCAAGACTGTGCAGAGCAGTCTTTTATTATGGCGTGATACATGCGTATCCCTTTCTTATCTTAAATGGATGTCCACTGGACGTCCGTTTATGTACTGCGACGATTATTCTCTTCTTTTCTCGTTTTCCGCCCTCCCGTGATACGCGGACGGACGGGTGTTGCCGTCCCGCTCTCGCTGTCGCGCGCGGGTCTTAGGCGAGGGTGCGCGCCGACGACGGGGAGTGCGGTCGCCGGGCGCGAGAAGCGCGGGATGCGGACGGATCGAGTCGTCGTCAAAAACCAAGGGGGAACATATTAACGCGCCGGAAAGGAGCGGGATCTCGGTAGCTCCGCGCGTACCGTGCCGCGGGCCGAAACTCCACGCGATAGACGAAGATTGGGCGCCAGACGCGGTCTTTCACGCGTCACGTCGCGAAATCCGCGAAATCGCACGAACGAGATGGAGCGGCCCTCGCCACGGGCAGGCTAGCTCGCCTAACGGTAGAGGGGCGGGGCGGTGGTTGACACTAAAAGATTCCAGAGGCTACGGGACCTAAGAAATTCACACGACGGACGAGACACACGACGGGAGACGTACACGAAAAGAAACTCAAGAATTCAATATAATAAAATCGAGTTTAATATAGGACGGCGTTAACCAGCCGGTTGAGCGGCCGCTATAACGGGTGGCATCGCAGGCGACAATGGTACCAGCCCCGAGATCGGGGGAAACAACTCGCCGCGATACCCTCGGCGACACGGAACAGTCCGGCGCGAACTCAACGGCAGAGATTAGCCATACGCGATAAACCCTACTCGGACGACACGGACGCACTCGACAGTAATTTTCTCGCGAACGGTACGAATACCGTCGCACACGCAACACTCGGCCGGGGCGCTTCGCCCGTGAGACTGGGTACTCGGGCCGACGGATCGGCCCGTCTCACAACGACGTGCAATCTCCCGCCGGGCAGTCCCCGACGGCTAACTACGGCGAGCCTTTCGCTCGCTCCCGGCCGCGCCGGCCGCGCTGGTCGGCAAGGGATCCCGCTCCGGACGCACCGTCCTCGCGAAACCCGCCACCGACAACGGCGGAAGCGGCACGGGGTATCGCAAACACTCACTCAGCCGCTCGCACTTCCTCGGTCGTCGCGACTCTACGGCGACGTTCCTTCACGCCACGCATGCACGCGACACTCCCGCGGCATGCGTACCCCGCGTGATCTCGCGCAACGCAACCCTCGCGCCGCGAATCTCCAGAACGACCGGCTCTACTCCACGCGACCGCGACCCTCGGCTCGAACACGCTCACACACACACACTCTCACGCGAGGCCTGTGCCCTGCAGGCTCCGGGGTAACCGCGGTTGCTTGTCACCGCGACCGGGACACCAAAGAAACTCTAAAGCCGACGGGCCGTAGCCCGGGCGACACCAAACGCGAAAATTTCCCGGCGACGATAGAACAACCCGGGCCCGGACGCAATCGCACGGGGCGAGACGGACGGAGGACAATCTCACCGGCACCCTCGGCTCTCCCGGGGTCGTCAGGCGGCAACGGCTCGTCCTGACCCTCGGACACTCGCAATTCGGCGGTAGAGCGACGGCAACGGCAGACCGGGGTCCTCACTCGTACAATGTCGGCAACAGGCTAACTTCGAATTTTCCGCGATCGCGGATCGATAGTTCGGGGGCCCCCCCGCGCGGCTGCTCGCGCGAGGCGCGTGCCCCGCGGCCAATCGCGCGACGGCACGCGACAACGCCGGCCGCGATATTGTCTAGACCGGGCGCAGGTGCCCGCGGTATCGCCAAAATTTCCTCGCGTTCCCTCGATAGGGCTGTCGCAGCGGCTCCCCCGCTGACGCCCCTCAGGTATCGTGCCACGGGCCCTGGGCTCCTTCCTCCCGGCCCGCTGCTCCGCGCGCTCCGTTCCCGCTCCGCACGCCTCTCCACCGTGCTCGCCGCGGAATTTGTCCGTTAGCCGGGCCTCTCGTCTTTCCTCCGCCCCCGCGTCCAACCGCACTCACACTCTCGCATTCATAGGAACAAAAACAAAAAAAAATCAGCAATACGTCGAAATTTCCGAATAACGGTCGCCCCTCTGGAGACTGCGGCACGGTTTTCCCTAATCTCGGCCTGTTGCCTTGAGGGAGGAACCCGGTGGACGCGCTCGCGGGACGGCAACGTCACAGTACATCCAATGTATATCTTTGTATGGATGTACAATGGACGATCTTATTATTTCCATGGACGTATGGTAGTAAAATGAACGTAAAACGGACGTCCATAAGATGTACGGTGCTATTTGGGCAGTAGCCTCTAACACACTTCTTGAGTCAGAAAAAATTACTGCTCTGTCGAAACTCTTAACATGGTTCTTGCAGTAGTCCAACGCTATTAATATAGCCCAAGCTTCCGCCGAGAATATCGAGGAGCTCCTGGGCAGCCTGAGCGATACGCGCAAAGATAATTCCGGGGAGAAAATGCCCACCCCTGAGCTGGACGAGGACGCCGTTTCGATTCTGGATCCATCCGTGTAAAACGATACTGCTCCGTTGCGTATGTCCTTTATCTCTTCCAAAAATGCCGTCGTGATGTTGTTGTGATTCCAGCATGATCCGAAGTGCAGTTTTAGATAGTCTGGTCTAAAAATCAAGGCATCATACTCCACGCTCATGCAAGCCGGTCCTGACGTCCTGTGTACTTCCTGCAGTTCCTCTTTTAATTTAATGTAGGTCTTCAAGACGGGGATGTTTTGTAACAGCCAAACACGTTTATGGAATGAAGCCGACCGTGAAGAGGCCACCTCCATGCTCTCAATTACTGAGTTGTCTAATCTTGCCGCACTTCTACTAATAAATCGAGCGTTTAGCATTTCCATTCTTGCTTGAAACGGGGGCTCCCTTGCCTCCTCCAGTTTGACATTGATAGGGGTGGACATTCGATATCCCATAGCCGTTCTGATCGCTCTATTTGTAAGCTTGAGAAGACTTTCGAGCTTGGTAAGATTCCCTTTAGAGAAAAACACCTGATGACCGTATTCAAAGATGCTTCGCATTACAGCTCTATATACCCCAATAAACACAAGTACGTCCTATGTACGTACAATGAACATCCATGCCGGATATTGTGTACATACATCGAACGTCCATATCAGTTGCAGCTGACGTACAAAGAACGTCCATTGTACATCCATTTGCAACTCCAATAGACATCCATAAGTTGTTCATTAATGAACATTTATGGATGAATTATGGATGAATTATGGATCGTAAATGAATAAACTATGAATCTAATGGATGAACTTTGGACTTTTTATGGACAAAATTGAAATCTCTACTGGATACATTCCCGGGCAGAAATTTTAGTAGGGTGAAAATTCAATTTTTTAAACTAATTTTTAAATTGTGTTAAATTACATAGTCATCAAAAGTATATTCAGGTTATTGAAGTTTATCCATGATGCAACAACTCGCTGTCGCATCATATCAGCTCGCCTCTTATACTAATACGGGATGATTTTTACTTACGAGAAAGACTAACGCGCGGTCGCCACGCCGCGGCAGTGAGTGGTACTAGTGCTATATATTCAGGTTAACGTTTATCAAATTCTATGAGGGAATTAGACGTACCGGATCAGGCACATTTCAGGGATTCCTTATTAGGGCATTCCTTACTTCCTCCCTATCGTACCCTGACGTCATACACAAGGCATGCATGATTTCATTTCTACTCGGGAGTATATATCCATAAATTAGTTATATAAAGGGAATCTTAAATGGATGTCCACTGGACGTCCGTTTATGCACATCCAATGTATATCTTTGTATGGATGTACAATGGACGATCTTATTATGTCCATGGACGTATGGTAGTAAAATGAACGTAAAACGGACGTCCATAAGATGTACGGTGCTATTTGGGACGTTAAGCAAGAGTATGGGATGTCCCCCCACCAGACTCCCGCCAGAGAAGATATCGCATTGGCAATGTGCCTGCATCTCGAGGTAATGTGAGCTAAGTGGGCTTTGCCCGAAAATGATTGATCGATTACTATACCCAAGAATTTATGCTCAGTTACTAGCGGTAAGGATTATTGTCTGATAGTGATTTCCTCGAGTTCGGGACGAGAACGACTACTTTTCTGGAAATTCAGTGAAGAAGATTTTTTGATGGAAAGCTCCATGCCCTTGTCCCTGAGGAAGGAATCAATGTTTACTATTGTCGTATATAGCGAGAGCACTCACCACTTTATTTCTTTCTTTTCCTGCGGACCACACCGCAAGATCGTCTGCAAATTGAAGTATTGAACCTAACCTAACTCCGAATAGGATACATGAAGTAATTTTTCTGATATAAATGTTAAAAAGAAGAGGGCTGAGGATAGATCCCTGAGGGGTTCCCTTGTGCGTTAGTCTAGTATCTCCTGCATTACCTCCACAGATGAAAGTCACTTCTCTAGCGTTAAGGTAGTTGTAGATGGTTTTGCGCAGATTGGGGGGGGGGGAATTCCCATACTTGTTAATTCTCTGAGTAACTCGAGCAGATCGACGTTATCGAACGCCGACGAAATGTCCAAAAAAGCCGCCGTGACCTTTTCGTCTCTTGACAATGCGCTTTTGACCTCTGTTGCTAGGGTCGCCAGACTATCTCCGCACGATCTGCCTCTTCTGAAACCATACTATTCCTTTGGGAGGAGACGATTGCTTTCTACAAACCACATTAGTTTCACGTATATGCATCTTTCAAATACCTTCAGTAAACATGTGTAAGCATCTGAAAATGTACATCCCGATAGCTATCGACACCTGTGGTAATATCTAGCTATTAAGCGAGGAATTCGGCAAAAGGAGCCGTTGCTCCGATTTAAGAGAGTCACGGGAGAGTCGACAAAGGACTGTCGAAGTAAATAGACGTGCGAGAGACACAAAGGACTGTGAATCGAGAAGTCTAGCAAGTGCGGAATTTCACTTATATAGTCGAGCAAAGGCTATAAATTACTGTCGGGTTGTTTAACGAGAGTTTCGTTTATACTAATTCTGTTTATTCACTTACTGTGTACGTTTTTATATTAATAAGTGTTACAAAAGTTGAAACCTCTCAATTTAAT